CTCTCCTAATTAGAAAGACTCTCATGATTTACGACTAACCCTTGAATCGTTCCCAAAAAGTGGCCAAGAAGATCAAGAGATGAGAAATGAGAAGAAGAATAGAGATAACAATCAAGAAAATACCGAGTTGCCACCATTTCCTCCTTACAGATCTTACGAATCCAAACTTGCAACTTCGACAATCATAACACAAAATACTCCAATCGTTCCTCCACATCTCACAGTCACTCATTCTCATCCTACCACCGTACATCACCGTCGTCTCCACCGGTGGTCCTTCGTCTTTTCTTCTATACCAAAACGTCGCGTTCAACGCATCCATGTTACATGTCTCCGGTGGCATACAACATCCATTCTACATAAACGCAACAAATCAAAATAATCCAATCATATAGAGACCAAAACAGAGACAGTCTCAAAACTATTTAAAAATCTTGTACAAAAACGTTACATATACATATTAAATCTTTCATTTCTTGATTGGTATTATTATCAAAGTATATATCAAAGATGATTCAAACCTTGATTGGTGACATTTTTCTTCTATTGTAAGGTTTTTGCAGTGGAGATCCATAAATAGCCTCGTTGCAAGCTCCTTTATCATAAATACACGATTTGATATTGTTCCAATTCACATCATCCATGACTTTTAGCTTAAACCACGTCCCGGTCGCCGGAAACCGCCGGCTCTGCATCTCGTTGACACCGGCGTAAGCCAAACCGATGAATAGCATCAACAACAGAACCACAACCATCACCACAAGCGCCGGCATCGGAAACTTCCGCCGGAGAAACAGAGTCGCGTTGCTAACTACGAACACGGCGAGGAGACCGACGCTAGCTAGCGTTTGTACACGTGGCAGTCCGAGAATATCTTCGCAGTCGTAGCTACGCATGTAAAGGAGCCACACTGCGTAACCGAGGAGTGTGAGAGAGAGAACGAACGTGAAAATCGGAAGAACACCGGCGGCTAAAATGTTCACGATCGTAACTAACGTTCCGACCGGTGGCTTATCGCTCTGTGACTCCATTTTTGCTGCGCTTTTCGGTTCGGGTTCGGGTTCAGTCGTTGTTATTGTGGTTGCGGTTGGTTCCTCGACGGGTACTACTTGAGCATTATCGGCCATGAAGAAACTAAGTGAAAGATCGAAGGTCTCTATGGAGGTGGTTTAGTTTGATAAGAGGAATGTATATATAGAAAACAGAGAGAGAGATGATCAATAAAAGTATAGGT